GAGGCAGAGGCATGATGGGATTTGTAGTACTTTAACAGCTGGAGGGTCATAGTTTGGAGACCCCTGCACTAGAGGAAACACTTGGTGGCTCAGTGCAGTTATTCTCAGCAACTGATATCAGCCACATAGGCAGTAAATTGTTCGGTTTTACGTAATTTGGTAAAGTGGTTGTTAATCTCTGACATGAAAAATGCTCAAAAGCATATCCTTCTATAGTGCGGACTTGTCTCAATCCAAAGTCCCGAGTTTGTTCTCTGTCTGAAGTATGGTTCCTGTGCTATTTGCATAAATCATTTGACAGGCCATGAAAACTCCAAGGGATCAAGGGAGATGGGAAGTAGAGCTCCAGCAATATACAGCCTCAGTTGTGCATGTTTTCCTATGACACTGTAGACTTGGCGGTGTCTATTTCTTCCACTCAAGACTCAGTGTACACTCAGCTCTCCTCTTTGAGTTGTGCAGTGTGTGATGTCAGATCCCTGCCCTGTTAAAAACACACACGGAGGAGACTAGGTGTTCTTTGTAAGGGCAATAACATTTTTAAAACTTTGTTGTGCCTTTTGATGTTTAGCCATTTCTTTAGTGACCCTGTCCTTTTAGCAGTCACTCTCAGCCAAGTGGTCATCAGTAAACAAAGCCTTTATAGACTTACCTTTACTGTGTTTTGAAAAGCCACTGCAGTTCCCCAGCCAATTCACGTATCGACTGTCAGATGAGTTGAATACTTCCTCTGCTGATTGTTGCTGTGGTTCCTTCCTCCAGTTCGTATGTCTTGTAGTGACGTATGAGCCAGCAGGAATAGTCACAGCCAGTGGTGGAGCAGGTATCCTACGCACCCAGAACTATAGAATACTTGCTTTAGCTTTTCAGTACACAGGTGTCCGGAAAGGTAAGTGTACTTATGACCTCTTGAATAAAAATGACCTGGTGAGAGGGGTACTTTTATGAAGAATTTTTGTGGATGTTTGTGCATTTGTGTGCTCTGTTTAGAGGGACTGGTTTTAGGTGTGGTCGGTAGAGGGTGCTGTTACCTCGCAGAAAGCACTGTGTTCCTCTAGTAACATTTATGAAGACTGGTATAAATACAGGCTTATTCTGGTGTCACACAGTTATAATAGGAGGTTTATTCAAACATGCATAATGCCTCCATTGGGAAAGGGGTTAAATCTCCTGGCAGCAGCTGTTGCGTTTCACCAAAATGTGATCAGCCAGGGAGAGGGAACGTGTGACAGCTCAGTCATTTCTCCACATTGCACGGATTAGCTGCTTGCATAACAGATGGCTGATTATAAAGGCCTTCTCTCAGTAAAGATCTGCTTGAGAACCCACCTCTTACCAGATGACAGCATTTGTACATCGTTCAGGGGGATCTTCGACCTCCAGATCGTCTTAAACTTACCTTTGTATGCAGGGTGGTTGTCGGGCAATAAAAGAATCAAATCTGCATTATCAACACCAACCTGTGTTTTGTCTTTTGATTATGCTGGATTAATACTTGTGCATTACCCTAATGCATGGGTATATGTGCATTGTGGTGCATTGCCATTTATTTGGATTGGCACCACAGTGCACAGAAGTAAAAAATGCACCTGTAGTATAGTATTGGCAAGATAGAAAAGTTGCTTTTTTTTTTTCTCTTCTAAGGTGCATTAACAGCACATAGTGTTAATGCATTGTAATCTTGAGAAAGGGCTCTTAAAATGTATCTAAAGCACCCAAAAATGTAATTTACTGTAGCTTATTAGTTCTTAGATGCGGAGATTGCATTTGTTTTCTTGGAAGTGGGGGTGGGGGGGGGGGGGGGGGGGGGGGGCGCACAGGTGTGTGTGTGTGTAAAAAAAAAAAAAAAAAAAAAAAGTAGACTCTGCTTTATAGGCACAGGATCCACTTTAGTATTCAAAGAGAACTTAAAGTGGTAATAAATACTATCTTAAAATATTCTACACATGCCCACTTCTTAATGGTCCTGTATTCTATTTTTATAAAAATATTTTACTAGCTTTTTTTGCCTCCTTTGTAAAGTTCCAGATCTGTCCTGTTCCATCTCAGTTTTGCTTTTGGTCATTTGCACTGCTCTCTACACGCCACAGATCCCATACCAGAGGGTCAGATGGCAGGGCTTGTGCATCATCGACAGCTGGCAGTCTGAACCCTTTTTAGAGGCAGCCAGCTGAAGAGGCCCAAGATGGCAGCGTGGGACCCAGGCTATGTCACCTGAACAGTTGAATGCTGCAGGAAATGCTCGATTTTCTGTGCAGGTGAGTTTGTGTTTTGATGATCACCTAGCAATACAGGTAAAAATACATGGGGGGGGGGGGGGTTGGGTCCCACTTTCATCTTTTCCATTGAAATCTAACCACAACTCTAAAAGTTATACTGAACCCCCTTGTCTCTGACCCTAACATAACCCATAAGCTGCTAAGCATTAGATTCAGATAAGCTCTTCTGTATATTTGCCTTGTTCTGCATCAAGAGCAGCTATGCCAAATCCTTGCAGCTCTGTGCCAACAAATGTCAGTACCAAGAACTACTACTACCAGAATTACCTGTGCTATTGTGCCGGTTCTGTTGCTCTTATCAGCAATGTTTTTTTTCTGAAAACTATAAAGAGCCTTTCCCCAGAGCTTCATGGTAGAGGTGCTTAAAGCTTGGTTAGTGTCATCCTTGATATAAAAAGCATTTTTCTATGCGAATCAGTTTTTGATTACCCTGCCACCACTCCAGTGACCTGTTAGTGATATGCTCTATGGATGAGTCTTGCATTATCTCCAGCTCTGCCATTTCATTAGATGCAGTGCTTGCAGAGCTGCCGGCTAAGCCTGTTTACCATGTTTTGTGTAGTGCTGTGTGTTACTTGATGGAACGAAAGTTTGTGTTGTTCTTTTTTTCTTTTTTTTTTATGTCACAGATCAGTGATACATTTCTGAGCTTCTCAACTTTGGCTGCTTTTTAGAATTTCAAAGTGCCTACTTTGAAATAAGTCATAAAATATGTATGAAAGACTATTCACTGTTAAAGTCGAGGGCCTTCCCTTAGCAACTCTAGCAAATACCGAGGAAATATTTTTATTCATGTAAGACAAATATTAAGATTATTTTTATTTGTGTGTCATCTGTAGAAGAGATGTATTTTTGTCGGTATTTGCCTGTTGGGAGAACTACTTGACCCAGCATGCCATATCAATGCAGAATTGGCATACTGCCCAGATTACAGTTGCATACACATGAGTTTGATGCTAACTGCTGCTGATTGGCTGCTCATAGCAGGCTATGAAAGCTAAACCTGAAAGCAATGCAGCCCTATAGAGAGCTGTGTGGTAGCATTGATCAATACTTCATTATCACACAGTGCCACAGCTGTGTGCCGCTAATATCATCTAAAAACTACCAATTGTGGCATAGGAGGGTTTTGAAATGTGCCAGTTCTCTTAGCCCGTGCAGAACTAAGAATCTTACATGTACTTTTGCTCTTTGTATGTTGTTAGGGCCATGTCACACAAGCAATTTTTTAGCAGCCACAAAACTGCCGTTCCTACTGTTTTGTTACTAGAAAAAAATAAAAAGATATCTTTAAGTAGATGTAAACTTACACCTTGTAAAACAACCTATTCCGCTTAAAATAGAAATGAAAGGCAAGCCATTTTGTGTGCATATGTATGTGTGTGTATATAATATAAAACCTTTTTTCCTTTTTATTTAAGTGATCACATTCCATTTGTTCTGCATAAGAGCGGGGGGAGGGGAAATGGCAGCACACTGATCTTCTTGTCCGGGGGGGGGGGGGGGGGGGGGGCTGTCAGGGAAAAGTCTGATCATTGGAGGAGAGCACCCTGAGGTCCCATAACAGCACACAGAATTCTCTTAGCATAGCAAAGAGAACTGGCCACATTGTGCTCTCTCGCTTAGTGTGGTCAGTTTTTAATATGAAAGCAGAGGGACTGGCAGGAACACCAAGGATTTCACTCAAAGGAAACAGTACAAAGAGAACAGTAGACTTTTTCATACAAGTACATGGTACAGCAGGCACATAACAGGAATATGAAATGTTGTGTTTCCAAATTCTTTAAGCTGCACAGTCAAGAACTGAGTTACAAATTGTTGCAAGCTTATAGAATCAGCGGCTTCAATAGCTACTTATATTACCCAATACAGCCATTTTTGATCATGGCACACCAGTTGCTTCTGCACGGCAAGGCTTGTAGCCATCTGCTGCAGCGACTATGTAATCTGCTAAAAGTCCCTGGAGAAAGCAGATCTGTATTTGCCCGTGTTCTACCTAAGTATGCTGAGAGTTCTGTGAACAAGCTGTGGTGTAAGAACTGTCAGGATAATGCAGAAAAGGGTAAGCATTGCCTGTAATTATCAAAGTATTCTTATAGTGAACATGTCATAGGGGAAGTATGGGCCCCTGCAATTGCTGACCACCTGAACATTCAAGGCTGTGGCCAAATTCAGTACCTAGTCAGACCCCCATGTGAGCTTGCTGTAAATGAGTGTCAGAATTCCTGATCTTTATGTTGAATCAAGGTAAGCTACTATTTGAAGCCAAAGCTTCAGCTTGACAGCCAGAAATCTAGCATTCTTAAAAGGAGAATTGGCAGGTTTCTTATCAGCACATTGTCAAGCAATGTAGGCATCCCTGCCAAGTTCTCCCTTGCTGGACTACAGAAAGTAAAACCCTGACTTGTTTTATGGAAATGAGGGGAAGGTGTTCTGTTTTATCGTCCAGCAGGAAAGGTCTGGGCAGTGCTGCAAACACTGCTGGAGTTTTCATTGCAGCAGAGGCACTGTGATGCTCAAACAGGAAATTAGGAACTTTCTGGATTTATGCAGGTCAGCAGGTATTTTCTGTACTTGCGGTGCGTGTTTTTTCTTTTTAAAAATAGTTTAAAGAAAAAAAATGCCTTGACATACTTTTGAAGCTTCGCAAGCTATGATTTCACTTTGTCCTGTGAAGATAATGGTTGACTTTCTAATATGTGATGTTTTATTTTTCTACAGGGGATGTTTGTTTTACGGTCCCCCTGGAACGGGAAAAAACCTTAGTGGCGCGAGCTTTGGCCAACGAATGCAGCCAGGGTGACAGGAAGGTTTCTTTCTTTATGCGCAAAGGAGCAGACTGCCTCAGCAAGTGGGTGGGAGAGTCAGAGCGTCAACTACGGCTTCTGTTCGATCAAGTAAATTATTTCCACATTTCTAAACTTTCTGGTGAAAAATCTGATATTAAAGTGCCAATGTTTCATTGCTTCAAAGGCCTAAACAACTGTAAAGAATTGTAGGTGCATCTGGGGCACATCATAGAACATTTGTGGCATCCAGTACACTCTCTGCAGGAAAAATAGCTGTGTAGGCCTCTGGAAAGGAGAGAGACAGTGGGGAAAATAATTATTTGATCCCCTGCAGGATTTGCCCACTTACAATGAAATGAAAGGTCTATAAATGTTTATCATAGGTGTATTTTAAATGATAGAGACAGAATATCAACCAAAAAAACAAAAAAATACACGTTCTAAATTGAGTTGCAGTTCAGTGAGTAAAATAAGTATTTGATCCCCTACTAACCAACAATAATTATGGCTTCCACAGACTGGCTATGTGCTCATGTGGTACACAGATTAGTCCTGTCAGTTTAAGAAGGTGCTCCTAACAACAACTTGTGTGTACAAAAGACTCCTGTCCACAGAATCTCTCTCTTCCATTCAATCCTCATTACCGTGGGCAAGACCAAAGAGCTGTCAAAGGATGTCAGGGACAAGATTGTAGACCTGCACTTGCAAAGGCTGGACTGGGCTACAAGACCATCAGCAAGTAGCTTGGTGAGGAGACAACTGTTGGAGCGATTATTCTCAAATGGAAGAAATACAAAACCATCAATCGCCCTTGGTCTGGAGCTCCATGCAAGATTTCATATCATGGGGTAAGGATGATCATGAGGAAAGTGAGGGATCAGCCCAACTACACGGAGAGGAGCTTGTGAATGATCTCAAGGCAGTTGGACCACAGTCACCAAACAAACCATTGGTAACAGAATAGGCCGCAATGGATTGAAATCCTGCAGTGCCCGCAAGATCCCCCTCCTCAAGAAGACATGTGTACAGGCCCGTCTGAAGTTTGCCAATGAACATCTACATGATTCAGAGAAGGATTGGGAGAAACTGCTGTGGTTAGATCAGACAAAAGTTGATCTGTTTGGCAATAACTCGACTCGCTGTCTTTGGAGGAAGAAAAATGCTGACTATGACCCTAAGAACACCATCCCTACAGTCCAAGAACAAAGGTGGAAACATCATGCTTTGGGACTATGTCTCTGCTAAAGGTACAGGCTAACTTTGCCGCATTGAGGGGCCATGTATTGTAAAATCTTGGATGAGTACCTTCCCCTCAGGCAGAGCACTGAAGATGGGTTGTGGATGGGTTTTCCAACCTGACAATGACCAAAACATACCGCCAAGGCAACATAGGAGTGGCTCAAGAAGAAGCACAATAAGGTCATGGAGTGGCCTAGCCAGTCTCCAGACCTTAATCATATAGAAAATTTATGGAGGGAACTGAAACTTCGATTTGCCTAGCGACAGCCAAGAAACCTTAAGGATTTAGAGAAGATCTGAAAAGAAGAGTGGACCAAAATCCCTCTCGAGATGTGTGCAAACCCGATAACCAACTACAAAAAAAGTCTTACCTCTGTTCTTGCCAACATGGGTTTCTCCACCAAGTATTAAGTCCTGTCTTGCTTGGGGATCACATACTTATTTTACTCACTGAACTGCAACTTTTTGGTTGATATTCTGTCTCTATCATTTAAAATATGCCTATGATAAAACATTATAGACAATTTCTTTGTAAATGGGCAAACTTACAAAATCTGCAGGGTAACAAATAATACATTTCCCCACTGTACATGTGCAAATTTTGAATATTTGCTCAGCGGTCCTCCCTTTTTTTTTTTTTCTGCACATCAGTGGGGTTATATTTTCATTGGAAAAGCTCATGGTGCAAAAACTATACCAGATACAAATGTGGACTCATTCACAACATGCTGTTTCAATAGGGGCATCTTCCAAACTGAAACAATTACCAAAAGAAATTAGGGACTTTTTTAAATATGAATCCCTGGAATCATTGATGAACCATAACAACGATAAAACCATTTACCTTTATTATACACGATTCCATAAAAATCCAACGGACATAGATTACAAAGTATCTTTTTTCTCTTTCAGTTACAAACAATGCATTTTTGAAAGTTCACAAAGATCCCACAATGGTATTGTGTAAAGTCTATGCTTTTTGTGGTTATTCCTTTCTTCAGGACTGCAGATGTATTTCGTATGGATTCAGATAACCTAAAACCCATCTATAACAAATAATGAAATCGCAAAATATGGCGAATAAAGTTATTACCACTATAAGGTATTAGAGACAAACAGGCCACATGTAATGAATGTCCAAACAGGAAGAATCCCACTACAGGCCCCACGTTTTCTCTTCACTCACCCTTTGTCTTCCAAAGGACTGCCCCATCAGACCCCATGAAAATGGAAACTTCCAGCAAACCATCAACAAGGAGGAGGTCACCTCCACACAAGTCTTGGGCATCTTGAATACTGGCGTAGTTGTTGTGTTTGATATTTTTGTAATTTCGTCATTTGTTCTAGATGGGTTTTGGGTTATTATTTTAATCCATATGAATCCCCTACAGTCTAGAAGAAGTGGTAATAATCACGAAACGTGTAGACTTTACACATTACCGTTGTGGAATGTTTGAGCTTTAGAGACTGCATTATTTGTAACTGATACTTTTTAATCTATGTCCGTTAGATATTTAACAAATTGTGTGTAATAAAAGCACATGTGTTATGTATTGTCATGGTTCATAAATGATTCCATGGATGCATGCAGTCCCTTATTTCCTTTTTTTGTCGTCGTTTTGGAAACACTCGGGGTGCATTAAAGCGCTCATGGATAGCAAGTCTTGTGTGGGTGAATATAAGTTGAAGCCATGAAAGATTTTTGATGTGTTGAATTCTTCAGGATGTATTGTTGCTTCAACAGCTTTTGCAATAGTTTTTTACACTTTCTTCGGTTGCAGGCGTATGTGATGAGGCCGTCTATAGTATTTTTTGATGAAATAGATGGACTGGCTCCAGTTCGCTCTAGCAGGCAAGATCAGATCCATAGGTAAGTTTGTGTGTGTCTTTTTGTTAAAGCAGAACTACACTGTATCTGAGCACCACAAACCAAATGCACTATTTAATTTCTTTTTAATATTCAAAACAAGATTGACCTTCCATCTAGTTCTCCATGCTTTATTATGCTGAAAAATCACTTGGACAAACACCCTCTAGCATTTCTGGCCATGGCCATCTTGAGTAGTGGCAGACAATTCATGTACCAATTACTCTCTGGAATCTATCTGCTCTTAGCTCAGGCATGAAGGCAGGAGGGTGTGCTTAGCTGAGAAAACCCCTCCTCCCCTCCTGAAGACTCCTGGAATGTGTGACATTTGCCTAGGCATTAAAACTAGGAAGTAACTAAAGTAATGTAAAAAGTTTAAATATGATATATTTTGCTATCTATTTCCTAATGCTTGCAGCATAAGGGTTCAAAATAGTCAATGTTGATTGAGAGAATGAAGTTTCACTTTAAGTTTTGAACAGAGTGCAAGTTATAGGTTCTCTGTTTTGCCTCCTGTGTCTCTGTTGGGGAGACTTGGCTTCACTTCCGTCCCTGTGAGATTTAATAATGGTAGAGATATCAGGAAGAAATCTCCAACAGCGGACACCTATCTGATTAGTCATGACTGCAATAGGTGAAATTAAGGGAAGGTTTTTGCTCACTTTTACAAATAAACAGAAATTTCCCAGCACATTTACCAGCTAGTCTGCAAACAAACCAAATTGACCCTGTCTAACAATTCATGATAAAACAGAGAGGGTTTTCTTGCATAGATTTGCAAATATATGTGGAAGCTGCAGTGCCCACGTCATACTGTGCTCCTACCCCCAATAGTTTTGAGAATCTCCAATTTGGAGCATATATAGTTGTGTATAAATGGTGGAAAGGATAGGTTTGCCTGGAGAGATCCCGCTTTCATTTGTGCCATCCGGACAGGAGGCGAGATGGAATGTTTTCAGACAGAGCAGTATATACTTGACCATTCTAACCTTTCCCCAAATCAATCCATAATGAAAAAGGTTTTGCTAGAGTTATACCTTAAGCATAATTATCCTGGTGTAGCTAAATCCTCTTCAGTTTTCAGTGATTCAAACTGATCACATGAATAAAACCAAAATTTCTTCACCTAAAAAACATGTCAAAAAGTTCCAAAGATCTTAGAGATATAGGCATGTGCAGTTAAAGCTAAAGTTCACTTTTCTATCCTTTGCCTTGACCAAACCTCACTAACCCTTCCGCTACACAGATACATACTTACCTCATGCCAACAGCTGCAGCCTCTGATGGCTGTGTAGATTTGGTGCTGCGAGTATACTGTGCTGGATGTGCCTGCACATTACAACCCAGTAGACTTCTGGAAGGCTGTGTCCCAAGGCTTGAGATGAAGGGAGAGAGTCCCATAGAAGTCAATGGGACTGTAATACACGGGCAGAATCAAATCAGGGCAGTGAGACTTGTTTTCCTGGATGTAAGATATCGCCGGAGGCCACTGCCACTGGATCAAAGTATGCATCTATGCAATGGAAGGGAAGATTGGGTTTGGTCAGGGCAAAGGGGCAATAAGGATAAGTGCACTTTGTCTTAAAGTGCACTCATCCTTTGAATGCAAATTTAGACTTTCCTGTTTAAAATATTGTTTAATCCTGAAACTCTCAGCACGCCTTCCTTCCTATTGGTCTGTTTGTGTGATGTGCAGTTTCACTGATAATTAGGGGATTGTTAGGCTATGGAAGTGGTGGTAACCACTGAGCCTCTGGGGGGATTTTATCAGAGTATTCCCCTTGACACACTGGGGTTGATTTACTAAAGGCAACTAGACTATGCACTTTGCAAGTGCAGTCACACTAATTTTTCCCAGAGCTTTGTGAATGTTGCAAAGCTATGCGGATTTCCATCATCCAAACATGCAAGAAAAAATGGTATTTATTTTCTTATCTGATTGGGTGTTCGTTACAAAGCGAAGCTTTACCACATTCACTAACCTCTGGGGTAAATGAGTGCATTGCAAAGTGCATAGTCTATTTGCCTTTAATAAATTAACCTCACTGACTCTGAAATGATAAAGAAGTATAGCAAAGTTACTTTTTAAAGTGAATTTTTACTCATCTTAGGTAAAAAAAAAGTACTCTTTCAGTTTCGATAACATACCCTAATCGTGTAAGAAAAATAAAAAGCTGTTTCTTAATCGTACTTTACAGAATACAGGATCTTCAGTTTAACAATGGGTTATATGCAGCTACCTTCACGTGCTTGTATACTGGCAAAAAAAACTGCAGTGACATCCCCTTTATAACCCCTCCCACCCCAAGCAAGCCTTTTTGGTTTTTTTTGTTATGCCCTTAGGTGGTGGACATTGAGAGACCCATACCTCTTGTGTTTTTGTTTTTTTTCTGAAAATTCTTCTATCAAGTTCCTAGCTCTACCACAGCCAATGTGGCTCTCGTTCGGCAGCTTTCTGGATCAGTTGACTCCTCATCTGAACCTTGACAATATCATAGCCTGAACCCCACATAGAAGATGATGCAGGGCCAGCCTGTGAGGTTGCTTTGGCTTTGTTGCTGCATTGGCATGTAATGCATCATATTGAGTTAGCTTCAGGCTGGTATACAAGTCACAGTGAGGCTTCGACCCTTAAAATCTCTTCAGGGCTATGCCCATTATGGAGGGCGAAGCCAGGATGGAACGGGACCCTTTTATTCTACCCCATTTTGCAGCGAAGGTAAGGGAAATTTTAAACTGAACATGGAAGATCTGCCTAGCTGCAGGGGCATAGGGGTCAGTCTCACTATCAGCTCATAGTACCTTGTGTTCTTACAACTGCCACCAATTTGATTTCCTGCCTTCCTCTGGGAACTCCACTGGCCCATTGGTCGTACCCACTGTTCAGCAGTTCTTTGCTCAGGAGGTCATTACACTTTTCCCAAACGAGGAAAGGTTCCAAGGTTTCTACAGGGGATTGTCTGTCCTCTATGGCCATCAGGGATCTTCACTTTCACATGTTTTTTGTTCAGCAACATTATCAGCTTTTTGCTTTAGACAGTCAACATTACCAATTTGCCATCCTTTGGCCTGTCTACAGCGCCTCGGGGTTTCAGCAAGGTGTTTGATCTGGTCCTAGCTGTGCTCTGTTTTCAGGGTGTAAATATTGTGGGATATTTGGCTGATCCTGACCCTATCAACCAATATACTGTGGACAGTTCTGACACTGTAAAGAAGTTTGATTGGATCCTTAACTATCCAAAGTCCTTGCTGGAACAGGCTTACCGATCCCTGACCAGGATCTTCCTACCCCAAGGCAAACTTCTGTCCCTCCACTCTCATACCCAGGCCCTCTGGTTCTAGGTTTGGACCACAATTCATGCTTGCATTTGAAAGTCTTGGGTCTGGTTGTAGCCTCCTTCCAAGCAGGGCTGTACTCCTTGTTTACTCAAGTCCACTGTAACTTGACTTTCTGGCAGCTTGGGACAAACAGACTGTTTTTGGACCTCCCATGTCTGACCCATAAGGCCAGGCTTTCCCTGACATAATGGATTTCAAACCCAGTTCTTGAATTGGGGAAGCTATTTCCTTAAACTGGGAAAGTTCTCACAACAGATGACAATTTGTTGGGCTGTGGAGAAATGGTAGATGCCCTTTCTTTGCAATTTTTTCACCAGGTCCAGGGACTCTAGGCTAATGCAGTGGCCTTTTATTTTGTGTGTGTACCCTTATGGATTGTCTGGACCTTCTGTCCGAAGGACTGAACCACCATACTGCTCGGTTGTTGTTGAATTTATTGGCATGGATTTATTGCAAGGCTAGGAAATTACATCATTGTAAGTACTCCATGGGGATGCATCTTGTCCTTTCTCTAGTCTGGTCTGGACCAGTGATCAGGTTAAAGGGCAAAGCTCGGCCCTGACAATTGACTTCTCATTCCTTAGTTAAGGTCTGTCCAGTATGTTCCACACATTTCTCCCCCTGCGTGTTCCCTTTTGGCTCTGGGATCTTCACCTGTTTTTTTTTTTTTTTTTCCTCAGAGACCATTCTTTGAACCTGTCAGGCATGATCCCTTGTCTGACTTTGCCAGCAAGGTGCCCATTCTTACTGCTGTCGCCTCTGCACAGAGGATCTCTGAGTTAGCAGGCCTTATGTTGTAATGAGCCTTTCCTGGTGCTATGCAAGAATAAGGTTTTCCTGAGGCCCAAAGCCTCTTTTCTCTCTAAGGTGGTTTCCTTCTACCACCTCAACCAGTACATTGACCTCCCCTCAAATATCCAAAGAAAAATGTCCTCCCCTGTCTGGATGTGGTACATGTTGTGACAGTTTACTTCTTGACTACCACCTCTTTTTGGTGATTGGATTCCTTTTTATTAAATTATTTCTGAAGATTCCCTGCTTCCCCTTTCACCATTGCTACTGTAAGTAAATTAGACAATTCATCTTTCAAGCATATGGCATAAAGTATAGGGCTCTTCTCTTCCCTGTTAAGGCGCACACTTCTAGTTTATTGGTTCTTGAGCTATTTTCTAGCATCAGGCATTGGCTTCTCAGATTTTCAAGGCTACCACTTGGTCTTCTGTTAACACATTTTAGTTTCCCTAGGTGGCTCTTCAGGTCTCCTCTGATACCAGTTTTAGCCGTAAAGTGCTGAAAGCTGCTCCAAGTTCTGTCGAACACTTTCTTGACCCTGTTGGTGGTGGTGTGGTTGGTATGATGTGGGCCTGTTGGTAGTGGTTGCTGTATTGCCCACCCCTCGGTTGGACTGCCTATGCATGTCCTATGGTTAAGACTAAGATCCTGTGTCCTGTACTGTACGATTAAGAATATTGAATTATTGACTAATCAGTTAAATCCTTTTCTCAGCATAAAGTACAGGACAGGGGTCCCTTTCCTTTTTTTTTTAGATCTCCGTATTGCTTGCTACAAAACTGGGGTTTGATGGGAATGGCACAGGTTATATAAAGTGTGTCCCTGAAGCTTTTATTTTTGAGCAGTAACCAAATCTCCTTAAAGTGTTACTAAA